CGCAGACACGGGGGTCAGAGGAAACAGTGGGAAGACGATGCTATGCAATTTCTGACAGCAGACATGTTTCTCCAACCTGGCAGCGGACGATGGTTTACACTAGCAGTGGACAGCACTCAATGGAGCAATTTGGAACAAGCATTCCTACGCCACGCGCAGCACTGACAATCAGTTCTTCATCTGCGACTGAGGACCCCGGCCCGCCCGCGCTGGCCTTCCAGGCCCCGCCCCCCGGCGGACTCAGGCGCGCCTTGCCGTTGCCTTCTCCTCTGCGTGGAATCCTTGCTGGCCAGAGGGCCCATATTTTGACTTAGGTTGCAAGCGTCGTGGAGGCCTGTTCTTCATTTCCGTTCTTGGGAGCAGGCCCTGCTGCCTTCTTAGTGTCGACTGCTGTCCGCTGTGGAGCTCGAGTGTTGTTCGCCTTTGTAATCTCACCACGTGTTTTCCGTTGGAATTGCATAGAATGGTTCGTGGATCGCCAAGGGCTGTTCCCTCCTTCTGCGTCCTCGGAGTAGATGTGCTCTTGGTCGTGCCAACGTCTCTCACCTTGGAGGTGGGGCTTCGAATGCTGGGCAGGTTGCTGGCCATGTTTACTTCAATAGCTATTGATTTTTTGCAGTTCCCCGTGAGGGTGGGGCTGAATGATGCGGCTATCTGGGGTTTTTGTCCGGCACTCCCTGCCCGCGCAGACGGGGCAGGGGCGCGATGGGGGCGGGGCGGCACGGGAGCCCAGGCGGGCTCCGCAGAATCCAGCTTGGTCAGATGATTGTTCAGACTGGATGTTCGCTTCTAGTCGGTTGCATAACAGTCGAGACATGATGTTCATCGTGCCATGCAGAGGAGGAAGAGAAGACGACAGAGATGACGACAAGGAGAGAGGCACACCTTACTGGCCAGACACGCCGGAGATAGCCCATAGAGGGCCGGATGGCATGGGTGGACAGGTAAGAATGTTTCAGCAAAGTGCTAGGGATGCGAGGCCCCCTGAAACCGCGAACCTCGCGACCCTGAAGGCCCGTGGAGACCCACACAGGCACGACCCGCACGACGCTGGTGGCCGCGGGGCTGTGAGAACGTTGGCCGCGGTCAAACGTACATTGAGCTTCACGTCCTGTGCCAGGAGCTGCCGTAAGTCTGGATGTCGCCCCCGGTCCCCAGGCTGTACTCGACCCAGTGGGGGACGTCGAGCACGTGCATGGCGGGGCACCAGTGGACGGCCCAGTTGTCGCCACCGAGGAGTGCGCCGATGCCCCAGGGCAGCGTGGTGCCCTCGCTTTGCCCAGCCTCTGCCTGGAGCCTGGAACTCCGCCGAGGGCCGGGAGCTCCCCGGCCAGGGCGGTCGGCGGCGGGCTTCGACACCGTCGCCCGCCGAGCGTCTCCCGGGCGGCACGAACGTGGGCCTTCTGGACGACGAGGCGTCGAGGGCACGGAAATCCTGCACGGCCTGTGCCGACAGGGTCCTGGTCCCAGTCTCTGCAGGGGCCTTGGGACACACCAATAAATACACACACGAATAACTGGATCCCCCTACATTTTCCCACATGTTCTGGGTTTTGTCTTCCCCCCCCACTTCCCAGATTTTCCCGTATTTTCCTGGAAATCGACGATTCATTGTGTCTGCGTGTTTTTTCCCCTCCTGAACCTCGGCAGCAGCGCTGCGGGGCCACCCCGGGCCCCCCAGCGGAAGCGAGTGCCCCTGCGCCAGGGGCGCGCGCGGCGTCGGCAGCCAGAGCGCCGCCACTGCAGGAAGGCTGGTGGGTGTCGTGTGCACTGCAGTTGTGGCACGGTCGTATAGGATGGCACGAAGCAGTCAACAGCAGGGCTCGAGGTAAACAGTGTGTTCCGTTGTCGTTCTGTTGTCGTCATCCCTAGTTCTGTCTTCGTTCCAAGTGTGCTGCAAAACGAAGTCAAAACGAAAGCGGCCCACGAAAGTGCCGAAACACCGTTTAGCTCGAGCCCTGATCAACAGTGTAGGCCGCCACCTGTGTTTGAGACAAGACGGCCACAGAAATCAGAGGAAGGCAGAGTAGGAGGAAGAGCCCGGAGTGCGGTGAACGATATCTCGCCTCCCTTCGCAGAGGCGGCTAACTGCGGAAAAAAACACATATGTTCCTGAGGAGACAGTTTGCCGTAGCGGAGGCTATTCCAAAGGGGATCAAGAGCACAGAGGCCCCGTGCACCCGTCCAACGCCTCGTGGACGGTGCTCGGCCGCATGCACATGGTAATTCAAGCGTCCAAGCCGCGTCCGCGGCAGGGCAGCTGGAGATGGCAACGGGGAGGCTGCCAACAACCGTGCATCGTGCGTACTGATAAATTAGTGGTGCAGGGTGGTGCTCATAAGGACGCTTCGAAAGCATTGACAGGAGTTGGCGCGGCTGGCGCGCCTGGTGCATCTGAAGCACGTGGCGCACCTGATGCGCGCGCGGCGCAACTCGCGCGCCCGCGCGCGGCGCACCTGCCGTCAGTCGATGGCTGTGCGTCGGATGACGGCTGCTGCCCATGCTGAATCTCGGGTAGTATCTCTGTTGGGTGAGTGTGCGAGACAAGTTCAGCAGCTCCGTTCGGGAAGTTTGCACCCCCCATGCCATCTCCCGTGGGGTCTGGATAAAGGATCTTCGCCAAGATGGCGCAAGAACCCAGGCTCTGGCCAAGATGCCCTCGGGACACGGCGAGGCACAAGGTGGCCACATAACGACTGAGGTTAGACACAGAACTCCCCAAGGATGCCCACAATATGCACAGATCACTGAAGCACATGAATGTGTTGGCTCTACGTGTCGCTCCTGATTGGCTTATGACGCATTCAGATGGCCCTACGACCACCCGCGAGAAACTCAAGAGGGGCCTGAAGGGCCCAATGACGCTCCCAGTCAGGCAAATATCATACCAACTTCACCTGACTGCGACATATAGTCGCCTTCAGCAGTGAGGGAACAGGGGTTCTGAGGATAGCAGGGCCTGAACCTATGGGCTGTCTCTAAGATTAGGTCGGGCATGTCCTCCTACAGGGGGACTTTGAACGAAAAATGAAAAATTGCCCAAGGTAATCCAGAATAGTCCAAAATCGTAAAAACCTCGTCCCCAGGCTATGTTTCATTATGTTTGAATATTCCTCCTGTAGAAGGTCGCGCCCGACTTCATCCTAAGACAGCCGTTCATCCCCGAGTTGTCCGCTGCTGGCCCGTTGGGCCCTGGAAAAGGCCCCAGTGGGCCGAACGCCCCGAATACCCGAGCACGTCTGCCCTTGAGAGCCCTTTTCCTTGGAGGCCTGGAAACGGGCACCAACACCAACACATGGGATTTGCCTCCACGGGGGGGAGATGATCCTAGATTTCGGTGTTGGTGGTAAAGTTCGGCCACCCTGGAAGCCAGAACGCAACCCCCACCGCCGAGATCGGGATCGCCTTAGCTCGGTGGAGGCACACCACCGATATCGGTGCTGGTGGGTGTCAAGCTCTAGGCCTGCGAATGTTCTTCATGCTTCGTCTACACGCAAGAGTGACCCTGGGTAAGAGTGACCTCTGGTGCGCGGCTTTTGGGGGGCCGCTGGGGGACCGAGCACAAGCGCACAGGACGCTGCTGATGCATCGCGTTCGGCGATCTGGGGACCAGTTTATGCCCGCACCAAAGGTCACTCTGGCGAAACGTTTTCAGTCCACGTGTGCCACGTGTCGCGTGTTGCGATTCGGGGCAGCTAAGTCGAAAATAAAATAACCCCTAGCCCGAATAACACGATGAACGCGTAGCATTAGGAACAATGAATATGGTCGGCTTGGTTCGATACAGGTCTAGAATAGACTCCCTATCCCTAATGCTTTTGGCCTCACTCTTACGTCTAGTCGAATGCTGGCGGAAAGAGAATCACGCCTGTTGCAGAACACAGCCTGCGTGACTGCGCGACGGCTCCTCAGGAGTCAGGCGCGCTGCGGCTGGCCGCGTGGGCAAAAAAATTGCGGCGGGATCCTCTTGGAGGGCTCGTCCGACAAGTCGCCGAAGTCGTCCCCGGCGAGTTCCCGGATGTCCTGTGGCAGGAGCGGGCAGCCGGGGAAGCCGATCGATTGGAGGTTGGCGGGTGAGATCGCAGTGGAACGGAGACCCCCAACCGGGAAATCGTTTCGTTTCGTTCGCGTCGTGCGTGCGGGCGAGGCGAAGCTGCGTGGGCGCGCGAGAGCAGTGAACCCGCCGTTGCTAGGGCGAAGTCTAGACAAATGATTATCCTCCACCCGCCCGTCCGGCGGTGGCTCGCGGTGTCCCGCGGTGTCCCGTGGTGTCCCGTGGTGTCCGCCGTTGCTAGGGCGAAGTCAAGTCAAATGATTCTCCACCGCACGCCCGTCCGGCGGTGGCTCGCGGTGCCCGGCGGTGTCCCGTAGTGTCCCGTGGTGTCCGCCGTTGCTACGGCGAAGACAAGACAAATGATTATCCCCCGCCCGTCCGTCCGTCCGTCCGTCCCTCTCTACGTCTGATTATGTCTCTCTCTCTCTCTCTCTTTCGCGAAGCTCGAGCTGGGTGACCGAAGGTATATCCCCGATGGCATCTCCTGCGTACAGCGAGCGATGATTGCTCCTCGACCGTGGACGAAGGTGTCAGACAGTGGATGGAAGTGGCTTCATCTCCTCGGTCCCCAAGCTCAGAGGGAGCAGGAGAGGGCGAGGGCGCGTCGTGCTAAGATCGACCCGAGAAGTCAAGGTCCACTCGATCGGCAAGTCGCCTCGACGAGTCGGCGAGCGCATCGGGCAGGACCGGCGTCGAACTCAACACGACTCGGATTGGATCGGCATGGGTCGAGTAGGAGATCGACTACAGAATGGTGTGCCCCAAAACTGCTTGTTTCATCGAATATACAAGAAGGGCGTGTGCGGCCTGTAAAGTTACGGAGCATTCTATGTATGGTTCGAAGATTCGACGGGGGGGAAGCGATTCCGGGGTAAATCAATGATGTAGTCAATCTCCTACTCGAACGATGCGCCTCAGCGCGCCAGGGCTGATCAAAAATTTCACACACGCGGTCTGGAGAGGCAGGCTGTGATGAGGGATGGGGCCCCGATGCAGGAATCCCACCAGCCCTCTGGGCTTAGGTGGTCTAGAGAGCTTTCTCTTCCAACCCCATTTCTTCCCCTTCCAGGAGGAGTTTACCCCTACCCCGCCCCCTCCCCTGGACTTCGACGGGGAGTTGCGCGAGGGGGTGAAGCGTCGAAGATGGCCCAAGACGTCACCAAGAGCTCTTCAGAGAGTCCAAGATGACCTCCAAGATTGCTCCTCCCAAGATGGCTCCCAAGATGCCTCAGGAGGCCCCAAGAACTCTCCACGACGGCTCCATGTGGCCACGGAGCCTCCCCAGGCGGCCGCCAAGATGCTAAAATCCACCCAAATCCTATGGAAAATCCATGTGGCTTGCGTTCTCGCCTTCTCGCTTCTGATGGCCTCCTGAGGCCTCAGGACGGCTCCTAGATGGCACAAGAAGGGCCCAAGAGGCCTCCAAGACGGCCCCAAGAGCGCCCAAGAGCGCTCCAAGAGAGCCCAAAGAGCGCCCCAAGGGGCGATGTGTTGGGCTCACGAAGGGGGGGACACTAATTAATGTTCCCCTCTTGTTTGATTGATGTCTTCCAAGACGGCTCCAAGAGCGCCCCTACAGCCCCCAAGAGCGCCCAAAGAGGGCCCCAAAAGTCGCTTTGACGGCCCCTAGAGGCGACCAAGGGACCTCCAAGAGGCTCCCTGGAGACTTTCAAAAGGCCCCAAGAGGATCCCCGACGCACCCAAGGCGCTCAAAGGCTGCCTTGGGCCCGCCAAGATGCCCCCCAGACGCCCAAAAGGCATCCAGAAAGCTTCGAAGCGACACCCGAGGAGACTCCGAGAGGCATTCAAGAGGCGTATATCTCTTATGTTCGCCACGTTGCTCCTCCTCCTCCTCCTCCTCCTCCTCCTCCGCCTCCAGCTCCTCCTCATCGTCCTCCTCCTCCTGCTCCTCCTCCTCCTCCTCCTCCCAATCCTCCTCCTTCTCCTCCTACTCTTCCTCCTCCTCATCCTCCTCCTGCTCCTCCTCCTCCTCCTCCTCCTCCTCCTCCTCCTCATCATCTCATCATCATCATCATCATCATCAGCAGCAGCAGCAGCATCATCATCATCATCATCATCATCATCATCATCATCATCATCATCATCATCATCATCATCATCATCATCATCATCATCATCATCATCCGCTTACCCCTCCTGCTAACTCCTGCCTCCTCACCCTCCCCCACCTCCTCCTCCTCCTCCTCCTCCTCCTCCTCCTCCTCCTCCTCCTCCTCCTCCTCCTCTTCCCCATCCTCCTAGCCTTCCTTCGCCTCATCCTCTTCCTCCTCCACCTCCTCCTCCTTCTCATCCCCCTCCTCCTCCATCATCATCATCAGCAGCAGCCGCCGCAGCAGCAGCATCACCATCATCAGCAGCATCAGCATCATCGTCATCATCATCATCATCATCATCATCATCGTCGTCATCAGCATCATCAGCATCATCATCATCATCATCATCATCATCATCATCATCATCATCATCATCATCATCATCATCATCATCATCATCATCATCATCATCATCATCATCATCATCATCATCATCATCATCATCATCATCATCATCATCATCATCATCATCATCATCATCATCATCATCATCATCATCATCATCATCATCATCATCATCATCATCATCATCATCATCATCATCATCATCATCATCATCATCATCATCATCATCATCATCATCATCATCATCATCATCATCATCATCATCATCATCATCGTTATCATCATCATCAGCATCATCAGCATAATCAGCATCATCAGCATCATCATCAGCATCATCAGCATCATCAGCACCATCATCAGCATCGTCATCGTCATCCTCATCATCAGCATCATCATCGCCATCAGCATAAGCATCATCAGCAGCAGCATCAGCATCAACACCATCATCGTCGTCATCATCATCACCATCAGCATTACCATCACCATCACCATCACCAGCATAATCATCATCAGCATCATCATCATCATCATCAGCACCATCAGCATCACCAGCACCATCACCATCACCATCACCAGCATCATCATCAGAAACACCATCAGCATCACCATCAGCCTCATCATCGCCATCATCAGCATCATCATCAGAAACATCATCAGCAGCATCATCATCATCATCAGCATCATCATTAGCAGCAGCAGCATCACCATCATCCGCATCATCAGCATCATCAGCATCATCATCACAATCATCATCATCAGCAGCATCAGCGTTAGCATCATCAGCAGCAGCAGCAGAATCGGCAGCATCAACAGCATCATCACCAGCATCATGAACAGAAGCAGCATCATCATCATCGTCGTCACCATCAGCGGCAGCATCAGCATCATACTCACCATCAGCATCGTCATCATCAGTAGCATCAGCAGCATCATCAGCATCAGCATCATCATCAACATCAACATCAGCACCGGCATCAGCATCACCAGCGTCCATGTAATCATCAGCATCAGCATCATCAGGATCATGAGCATCAGCAGCATCATCATCATCATCATCATCATCATCATCATCAGCATCATCATTATCATCCGCATCATCACCATCAGCATCATCATAATCCTCAGCAGCATCGTCATCATCATTATCAGCACCATCAGCATCATGATAATCAGCTTCATCCGCATCGTCAGCATCATCATCAGAAGAATCCTCCTCAGAATCATCATCATCAGCATCAGCATCAGCATCGCCATCATCATCAGCATCATCACCATCATAATCATCATCATCAGCATCAGCATCGCTGTCATCATCATAATCATCAGCAGCAGCATCATCAGCATCAACATCATCAGCATCAGCATCAGCAGCATCAGCATCAGCATCAGCAGCATCAGCATCAGCATCATCAGCAGCATCATCAGCATCAGCATCAGCAGCAGCAGCATCATCATTATCATCAGCATCATCGTCAGCATCAGCATCATCATTAGCATCATCATCACCATCACCACCACCACCACCACCATCATCATCATCATCATCATCATCATCATCATCATCATCATCATCATCATCATCATCCGCCTCCTCCTCCTCCTGCTCCTCCTCATCCTCCCTCATCCTCCTCCCCATCGTCCTCCCCTTTCTTCTCCTCCTCCTCCTCCTCCTCCTCCTCCTCCTCCTCCTCACCTCCTCTTCCTCCTCCGCCTCCTCCATCTCCTCCTTCTCCTGCTCCCTCCTGCCCCTCTCCCTCCCTCTCTCCATGCTGATGTCCAAGCCCCCTATGCTCAAGGACCCGATGATGTTCCCTGGGCGTGCGGTGGCAGCTAAGGCACATTGAGCCATGTCGGGCGGTGTCGTCTGCATCTCTGCATATCTTGTCATGGGGATCGGGCTCACTGGCGACAATATCAAGCTGCTGACGGCCATCGCGAAGTACATTGCGAAGCTGAACGTGATTGGGCAGGCGTGGGTCATAGATGCGGACTGGGACGTGGACCCTGAGTGTGACATCGATGACTGGTTCCTCGGGCTTAGAGGTATCCGTCGTAGCAACATCGAGCCGACATGTGTTCAAGCCACGCCTGGTACCCATCGTGATTGCTTTTCCGCGTCAGAAGGCTTCTCCCAGCATATGGGCTTCCCGTCGGTGGACAATGCAATTGATACGTTTCCGCACTTGCCTGTTGTCGCTGATGTGTCGCGAAGGGTCCGCTCCATGTGCTGCCGGGTTCCTGTGGAGCCGAAGCCTCTGCCTATCGTGCCGCCCGTCGGCTGCTCTGCGTGTCCACCAGTACGTGAATGGCAGCAGGTGCAGCGGAGGCGCGTTGAGGCCGAATCGGCCGACAGCCTGGCAGAATGCTGGGACGAGGTGCTGACAGGCCTCGAGACCGAGCTACTCGACAGACATGGGATACGCGAAGGTGCTGCTAGAAAGCGTCACCACGGCCATGCAGGTCCTCAGCAGTATAAGTGGCAGCAGTGGAAGGTAGCAGTTCCTAATCAGCCGAAGTCGCTGACGGCATGGAGGTCGCTCAAGAGGCGGCTTCGGCATTTTCGTACAGCGAGGGCGCGGCCGCAAGAAACCCTCGCAAGAAACCCAACCCTGAAAACCCGCGCGCGAGGTGCGCCTGAGGGGAATCTGGGAGCGCCCTGAACGCAGCAGCTTCTTAAACCGGTGCGGGAAGTCACCGCGCAGCGGGCGGAGCGAAGAAACCCAGGATACCCTGATGAAAAGCACATGGTTTCTTGATGCGCGCCCCCACTGTAGTGTGCGTGTGAAGCTCAAGTCGTGCGTGGACCAGCTTAATGGTGTAATCGTGAGCTCGCCTGAGGCAGAGTCCACGCTGATGTGCTTGAGTAAGTTGATTTATGATATGTTCGGCCACTTCAAGAGAATTCGACGTGGCAGGTGGATCCACGAATTTCTTCCGAAGGTGGCGGGCGATTTCTTTGAGGACCCCATCTCTAGCTTCTGCCGCGAGGGCTTCGATGATGTGGTGCAGCGGCTCATCGACATGGCCGAGGTGAACATCGCCGAAGGCATGGAGGAGTCTGCGTCTGGGTGGGCCAGGCGGGCCCAGGAGGCGTTCGTGAAAGGAGCTGGGAAGGCACATCGTTATTCCAGGATTCGTGAGTTGCAGGAGGTAGCCGATGATCGGGATGACAGGTGCCAACCCTTTGAGAGAGTAGATGGTTGTTTAGATGAGTGGCAGACCATATGGAATCTACACGGGCGTGCTGAAGCTGCATTGCCAGATGATGCTGGCGAGTGGCCGCTGCCCGAGCCAGTTACGGTCCAGCAGATCAGAGGAGTCCTCCGCAGTTTCTCGTCGACGGCACTGGGCCAGTTCAAGCTGCATCCGCGCTCGCTGGACGCGTGCTCCGACGCGGCGCTGGAGACGCCCGCGCTGCTGTACGCCGCCTGTGAGCGCCTCCTCTGCTGGCCTTGTGGCAGAGTGCAGCCTCGGCTGGCCAGGCTGGGCAAGCCAAGCCCTCTGGAGGCCACCGCCTCGTAGCGCTTTTGAATACTCTCGCTCGGATTTGGGGCCGCCTGAGGCGGCCGATCTCCCAGGATTAGGAAGCTCGGTACCGACACCCCGCAGTTTGATGGCATGGGCCCGCCAGGAGCTCGTCCGACGCCGCCTTTGCTCATAATGAGGATGCGGAGGTGGCGGGTGCGGTGGGTGAGTTCTCTGTGCCTGTGCCCCTCGACATGTATTAGTGCTACGGGTGTATCGTAGTATCCAAGCTTTTAGAAGAAGCCCGAGCCCTCCAGCATCCCTTGCGTATGCTTTGGATGGTGCTGTGTTCCTACCGTTGCCCTAGGGTCGTCCAGGCGTTCGGGTCTTCGAGCTCGGCTGTGGCTACGAACCAAGGGATACCGGCAGGGTGCAGCCACGCCAACACTATGATGCACCTCCTCTTGCATCGAGTCGCGGCGAAGTGCTGCTCGTGTTTCAAACCCATAGTCCCTCGGGATCTGATGGATGATGCTAGTTTCCAGAGGGTGGGTAGCGATTTGCAGCTGCCAGGGCCATTGGTGGCCGCGGTCCAATGGTTGTCCCGCAAAGCCTTGGCTTGGGGCTTCTTTTGCAGGTTGCCAACAAGGGTCTTGTTGCATCCACGGTCCGTGCTGCGGCCGAGATCGGCTCGACGGCAAAACTCAGTCGCTTGAAGAGCCACAGGCACATGCGGAACTTGGGGCAGGAGGTTTTCTCTCGGGCCGCCCACTGCGTGCACAGGAGCGCAGTAGGCTGAAGGGGGTGCTGTCACGAAAGCTGGAGCCGCCTCCTCCTCCTCCTCCTCCTCCTCCTCCTCCTCCTCCTCCTCCTCCTCCTCCTCCTCCTTCTGAAGCGTGGAGCCGCTGGTAAGGTTGGTGCCATGTGGCGCACTGGCGTTGTGCCCCCCGCGGGCGCACGCGGCGCGGGTGTGTCTGGGGTCACCGACGGCACCCTGATGGCCCTTCGCACGCTGGCAAGCTCGCTCGTAGGAGCTGAGAAGTCAGGCTCTCTGACGGCGTGGTTGAGGACACGGCGCGATCAGTGTTTCGATCCTGCTTATGATGCATGTGTCCCTTTGATCCAGAGGTATTGCGCCATGATCTGGAACGCTAGAATATCCTTGCTAGGCTCCAGCGGGCCTGGTTTGTGATTTCGGGCCGTGTCCAGGCCGCCCAGTCCTGGAAGGTTTGTAAAGGGCTCGTCTCAGCCGTTTTGCTGAGCTTGCGACGCGTAGGCTGGAGTATGAGCCCGGCACATGTAATAGTCAGCGGCGAAGGCCAGGTGCACGACCTGGTGCGCGAATGTCCTCGCGATGTGTGCGCTGCCTTGCGCCTCGGCATTGCTCGCTGGCAGGCTAAAGGAATGCTTCAGCACGTCCCCGAGGCGACTGGCCCCGAGGAAGTTTGGGTGAGGGGTCTTCGTCACGGTGTTCTGAAAACCTCGGGCCAGAAACGCCAAGGGGCTGCTGGGTGTGTCCTGGGCTCCGCGGCGTGGCCTCCTGCCCGTCGCAAAGCCGCTGGGTTGTGTGAGTCGTCCGACTGCCAGTTTTGTGGCAAGAAGGATGGTGGGACCCTGGGCCGCCTCCTTTACGATTGCATGCCTGTCATGGACTGCCCTAGCAAAAATGACGCTTTTTACCCTGAGGACGTCGTGGCATGGAGGGGTCTGCTCCGCGCCAAAGGGGAGGCTGGGCTCGGTGAGGCCGATTGGGACACGCTCGAGCTGGCCTACCGCTTTTCGCTTCAAAGGGTTAAGGTCCCCCCAGTCCCCTCGGAACTCCCCGTCCATTCCTGGGGGCTTGCCCAAGGGCCTTGGGGGCGGCGGATCTCTACCGACGGTTCTGGACTGGCGAGCTCCAGTCCCGAACGTAGACGGTGCGGATATGCCGCGGTCGAGATGGGCCTCCCGGGGCTCCCGCTTCGGGCCCCGTACGGGGCCCTTCGTAGCTGGCGCCAGTCGGTGCCCCGGGCCGAGCGGTTTGCGATTCTCCAAGCTCTTCGGCGAGGCCCCCAAAACGCCCAGGTTGTCTCCGACCACTTAGGCGCCGTGCAGGAAGGGCTCGAGTGGTCCCCTGCCCTCGCTCAAGGCCAAGCCTTGCACGCAGATATATGGCGCAACATTGTTGACTTGTTTCAGGAAAGCCAGACGCGTCCAACCTTCCAGTGATTCAAGCCGACCGTGAGTGGGACGAGATTCTGGACCTTTCTTCGGCCCAAGATATTCAGGATTTTCTTGGCAACCTCTGGGCCGAGTGTTTCGCAAAGCTGGGGTCCGAGAGCCATCCTGTAGCCACCACTGTAGTGGATGCTCCGAAGCAGCATCTGGCAGACATCAAGAGGGATTTCGACTTCCTGAGTCGTTTCGCCCAATCGATTGCGATGCTGTCGTCGGACCTCCCGCATCCTGTCGTCCCACCAGGGGACCGCCAACATTTGGCCCGTGCGGTGCTGGTTCAGCACGAACAGTTCCACTTTCCTGCGCTCGGGGAGTGGAGATGTAGGCAGTGTAATGTGTGGGCGCGCACACATGACTCCCTGCCGCAGCTGAGGTCAGGCAGTCGTCAAGTGTGTGAGCCCACTGCGGTGCAGAGGTTTCTTGCCTCCGGGTTCCTGCTGGCCCACGGGGCGAATGGGGTGCTAGTCAGACCTGAGGCGGTGCATGAAGCGATGTCGTTGGCCAGCGAGGTCCTGGGGCACGCACCTGAGCCTGCACCGCCTCAGTCCGAGGCTTTCAGGCATTGGAGGCAGCTAGGCCATGCCGTTGAGCGTGAAAGCCGTGTGGTTGTTTGCTCCCTGTGTTTTGCCTGATGGTGTGGGGCGTGACCTTGGCCTCGGATGCAACGGGCGCAGTGTCAATGCCAGCACCCGTGCGAGCCCTTCGCGAGGTCTGCACCCCAGGACTGGCAGGCCCCTGGAACCCCTTAGGGCCTCCCAGCCTGCCGCTCCCGTCGCCCCTGCTGCCGAGGCTGTGACAGCAGCTCCGCCATGCCAGTCGGCCTCCGCTGGTGCCGCCGCCGCGCTCCGCATGGACGAGACGGCCCTCGGGGCGGAGTCGGGGTCGGATTGATCTTGACGCTGGCTGAGCCAGCCTGGCCTTTGGCCCGTGCTGTTGCAATTCGTTCTGCTTTCAGCCATTTGTGTGGGGGGGGGGGGCATGTCAGGGGCTACCGTATGCCGCCTGCGCGAAGCCGCACGGTAGCCTGACAAAATATGGATTGCCCCCCCTCCATTCGGTCTCCTGCCGCCGCGTGGAGAGATGCCCGTCCTGGCTGGTAGCCTGGGCTGTGCACTACGTCTCTTTCGGCCTGCCCGCTCGTCCTCGATTTGTGCGCGTCGGCCTCGAGCCCTCGAGCCCTCCTCCTCCTCCTCCTCCTCATCCTCCTCCTCCTCCTCCTCGTTTTTTTCCACGTTATCCTCCCCATTCCTCCTCCTCGCCCTGTTCCTCGTCCTCCTTCTAACCCTCCTCCGCATCCTCCTCCTCCGATTCCTCCTCCTTCCCCCTGTTTGGGCACGACGATTTCTCCATCCCTGTGTTCCTCTGTATGCTCCCCCACGTCCTTGATCATGGCAACTCGTCTGGGCATCGTCTCTGGATGGGCTGCCATTCTCCTTTTTCATCCTCCTCCTCCTCCGATCCGCCTATTCCACCGCATGCTCCTCCACATCCCTGATCAACGCAACTCGCCTGGGCATCGTGTCTGGATGGGCTGGTGGAATCACGGGACGCGTCCAGAATTGCAGGGGTCATGGAACACGTCACGGGCACGCGACGCATTCAAAAGAAAGGTAGTGCAAGGACTAGCATGACAAGGTACTCGGCCCTCAGGAAGACCGCTAGCGAATCGATGTGACTCGCTCGGTCGGCGTGAAATTCTCCCGGGCAATGAAGGCGCCCAGGCGTACCGTGGCGACCAGCATCCAGGATCTCTCCTCAAAGCTTGGCGATGCTGAGTAACATACCCAACCACTCTTGCTCGTAACTCGGGGCACTGAGGCCCAGAACGTGCTGTCCAGCTCCAGCTCACGTGCCAAATCCCGCCTCTTGGCCTCAAAATGCGGACACTCTTGAAAAAGATGGCGGAGACTCGGCAACGGGCAGCTGCACCACTTACAACATTTGTTCACCTTCAGTCTAGTATACGTCTGGCAAGCACCACTTCGATAGATCATGACACTACGCATATCATCAGCAGTCAGGCGTTTCTCGTACTTCTGGTATATCTGGCTACTACTTAAATCAACGTCGACGTCTTCGATACCTTCAACATCGTTTCGTGTGAGATGTACTGCACGCAAGCAAGCTACACGAGCCACAGCACGTACTGCATGGGCCCCGCCTGGGGCCCCCGTCCAGAACTTATCCTGGGGATCACGCACTTGGGCGGTCACACGGAGCACTCGAGGATCAGCACCAGGAGGGACCCGCAGACAAACTCCCCGTTCGGCGTTGTGGTCGATATACTCTAGGTTTATCTGGGCGTAGTGGGCCCGTAGGGCCTTCCTCAATAACTCACTCTGGACCAGGTTCTCGGAGCGGACGGATTTCATGATCTGGAGACACGGCGAATATAACGGATGCAGCTGTACTCTCTGGGCCCACCAGCGGCCCGCACACCACCACGTATTTGCAGTTCTCAGAATAGCGTGAAATAGGGCCCCAGGAACCCACCGAGGGACAGGCTCGACCAATGGGGTCGCCCAGAGCCAGAGGGGCCTCACGTAGGCCGCGGCAAGCCGTTCACGGACAGCGGCGGCCCCTGGGAACGACTTCAGCACCCCCACGGCCACCTCGAGCTTTTTCCAGCCTCCACGAGGCCTGATCGGTTTGTCGGAGTTGGCGGGATCACACATCACCCCAAGGTGCTCTATGTAATTCTCCTTCCCCTCCTCCCAGTACTGGCGCTTCGACAGGTTCTCAACGGAACCTACATCATTGTCAAAAGCCTGGGCCTTGGCTAGACCCTCTGCAAGATCCTGCTCAGCTCGGACTCCACCCGCCGTCAGAGAGCGGTCGCCCATGTATGCCCACCCTCGGGCGGGCTCCGCCCGCCACGGGGTAAGCGCCGCAACCATCGCCCCAGGAGCACAAGAGTCTCCTTGAGGCAAACCTTTGACCACCCAAAGTGGCGACGACAACTCGTTCTGTACACAGCACACTCGAGGCCCCTTCCATGCACACAAGCAAAGATTGATAAGTGCTGCTGGGGCTCTCTCAGCTCGTAAAGCGGCAACTGCTACATAGTGTTCCACATTGTCATATGCTTTGTTCAAGCCATCTCTACCCCTCTTGTGGCCCCAACTGATAGCCATGCCGAAATGGCGTGGCTGACGCTGAAGCCTGATTTACATGCATACTGGTTCTCGGCGGCCGTCGGCAGGGCAACTGCTAATGCTGATAGCCAGCATCTCACTAAGCTTGACGCCACTGAAATTGGACGCGACTCATTCTCATCCTTCTTCGGGATCCCCACCACCCTCCATACGAAAATCTCCTTCAGGAGCCCACGATCGAGCTCCCCCTGGACCGACACCGCGTGGGCCGTGGTGTCGCACCAGACGAGGTACAACTCATCTATGATGAAAGGGGGCGATTTTCAACAACAAGCGGACCTCCGAGGCCTTCCACCCGCCCATACCTTCCGCTCCTTTACACTTTTAATGGCTGCTATGAACCCCTCTTTTGTTGGATACCAATCGTCGGGCTTGCGACTCATCGGGGTCGGTTTGTTATCCGCTCTCGCTGCTGCTTCCCATCGTCTCCAGTGTGTTAATTTGCTTTCGCTCTCGTACTGCTTGGGCTTCCAGACGGGCTCCCACCCGGCTCTCATCCCCTCGCTGTCGAACCCAGGGCTGGGGGCCCCTGCTTTGGGCCAGCTTCCAGAGATCGTTAGACCATTCCCGAAACCGAGCTCCCCAATGTTTACGTTTCTCATCCGCCACCATGCGCTCCTCGAACGTGATGACACGACTGACTGCATCCAGGAGTTGGCCGTGAGATGGCCACCCGTCCAGATGCCGAATCAACTTATCCTGCACAGCAGCGGTGTAAGCGCTCATATGCCGCAGGTCGAGGCGGGCGCCTGCACCCTGGTGGGCACGGACTTGGTGCGGACAAGCTCTATGTAATCGGCGCAGCCGTCGAATGGGCAACCGACTCAGCAAGACAGTGAGCAGGAGGATGAGCACAGGGTTTGGCGGTAGGATATGCCCCCTTATCCCGTTCAGCTGCACGTGATACTTTAACCCATCCCCTAGCTACTGGTTCTTCTAGTGCGTGCTCAGCTCTAGCATGCCATACTTTCCATTTCGTCGATATATCGGTATCAGGGCGAGGCTTCGGGACCATCGAGTTACATGCTTGCTCGGTATGCTTCTGCTCTGGCTCGTTTACGAACGCGATGGCGGCCTCCTCGTACAAGGCCGCATGCCGAAGGCGTGTGAGAGGACGTTGCTGAACTGGACACTGAGACACCTCGAAGATACACATGCCATGGTGTGGGACGCCCTCGATGAAGTGTGTGCCTATGTGCTTGGGGGGTTCATTATCTTCAGCCATCCACCGAAGACATCTGGACGGAGACGTACCAGCTGTCGTGGTAGGGCAGGTGTTTGACGTAGTAGACCAACCTGGGCCCACAAGCCTAGCATATCCAGAGAACCAATTCAGGTCCCCGACGAGGATGGTGTGATTGCTCAACTTCTGGGCCCAGTCGAGAGCCCTGCGCACCCAACTGCAATCTCCCCGAACAGGCCCATTGCCGCTCACGACGGCCACAGTCGCGGTCTTCACAGCTACGGCTCGGTGGTCGAGATCTTTATCACGCTGCACCGTCACATTGCCGATACCTCTGCGCCATGGGACTGCTGCCCCACCACGCCCCTGAGAACCAGACGATGACGGAGGAGGAGAAGGTGACCATGCAACTCCCCACCCGTGACTGTTGGCCAGCGATACCAGCCACTTGGGCCGAAGCTCCCAATTCTTGATTTCTTGCCATGCCATGATATCAACTTGCTTGACTTCTTTGCGCTTGAAGATTGCTGTTGCCCTTGCCCTGGTCAAAGCTGTGACGTTTATCGAAGCGATCCTGCAGGGTCCCGAAGATGGAGTAGTAGGTTGATTCCCACCACCGCCGCCGAGGAGAGGATCTTGACGCGAGGTGAAACGTTCAACAGAAACTGAATTAGCGAAACCTTCCACAGAAACTGAAGTAGTGAAACTTTCCACAGAAACTGCACTCAAGTAGCGTACAATGATCAGTACTGTGCCACGCGTAATAGCATCCAGCCGCAGAGCCCCACCACCACACGAGACGGTAGGCCACCTCGTCGTAGTACGTGGGCCTGGCTGCGTCCTAACGCCGTGGCGACGTAGCCCGACTGACGCAGGCTCGAGGAGCACCTGCCGTCGGGACTTGCGTTCTAACGCCTGTCGTTGGAGAAGATGCGAGTGCGTTCTAACTCCACGTGGCGACGTGAGCCCAACACACACAAACTCGAGGAGCACCTGTGGTCGGGACTTGCGTTCAGACGCCTCCTGTCGGGAAAGAGTCGATGGCGTTCTAACGCCTTGTGGCGACGTGAGCCCGACCAGCACAGGCTCGAGGAGCACCTGTGGACGGGACTCGCGTTCAGACGCCTCTGAAGGGCATGATGAACTTAATTCCATCGCTCGAAGATACCCACAATGAAACTGCCGACCAAGGCCAAACCAATTCCATCGAGGTAGTAACATGTACGTAGTCTCTTCCACGGCTAGTCAAGACGAGGCTGTAGCTGCTGCTGCTTCCTTCTTCGCTTGATGTATTTGCTTCCAATGCTCTTTCCTTCTTGTGTGCCACTCGGGGTCCATGATCCGCCTGGTAGCCATCCTAGCCTGTCGTGTTGCTTTCTCCAGCGGTGCCCTCCTGTGCGTGGCTTGGTGCGCCCTCGCATAGGCACCGCGAATGGCTCTGTACTTGGCGCGGGCAACGTCAGCTTGCGCTCGCCCCCAGGCGCCATGTACAGCTGGCTGGGCTCGTCGCTCTTGGGCACGCCGAAGGGCTCTCTCACGAGTTTTCTCCAAGATCTGCTTGCCTTTGTGCTCGCCCACGGCCACCTGGAGCAGCTGCTTGATAGTGAAGCGCACTGGCCGCTCGGTACACGGCTGGACCTTCGCATTCGCGATCCGCTTGCATGCGCCACACCTGGTGCACAAATATGACTATTTAGCCCCCTTTGCCCCACCACTCGTAGCAGCCTGGGTAACGTCCAGGTCACAGAAGGCGTCGCGGTACTCGGCAGGCTTGGTCAGCTTCCACTGGTTGTATCTCGTCTGAACAGCCTGACGGGTTCGGACACGATGACTAGCTTCTCGACGTATGGCGGCTGCCTTGGCCCACTCCTTCAGGTCACTCTGCGGCGGAGGTTCACCTCGGCAGGCACCCCAGTGGCGCTTTGCCTCAGATCTCTGCTGGCTGGAAGTAGCGCCTGGCGTGGGTCGCCAGCCGCACGTGGGACACCTCAGGTGATCTCCAGGCTCACGAAGCGCAGGTTCATCCAACTCATCATCCGATGCTGGTACTCCCCGTGCCCACGAGCTGCTTGAATCTTCCTGGCCGAGCTGCTGGCAGACGAGCTGGGGGCCCCGAGGATCCTGCGCGCCCGCTTCGACGTAGTCGAACCACACACCGAGGAAGCTCCACACCTGCTGAGTCCACCACCCTCGAGGTTGACGGGGCATGGTAATATCGCTTCCTTCCACTTCTTCATATGCTGAATCCACTGGCTTTTTCAACACAAGACGCTCATAATGCTTATTCTCCAATACCATCATCACCTGCTGCTTGAGCTTCTTCGCGAACTGTGGCGGGGGCCCATACAACATCCAATGACCATCATTTGCTTTTGCCCAAATAAGAATCTCAGTTTTTGTCGCCAAAGCTGCTGCCAAGACACCAATACTGTTGAACATCGTCTTACTTGTGGCCAGGGTCGTGATCAGATCCGCGCCGTTCTCGAGATTGTAGGTCTTGGGGCTTCTGGCGATCTCCTTAGATACCAAGCAGCGCACAATACCTGGGATACGACCTCCAACGGCCACATCCTCAGCAGACAATGGCTTTGCCTGCGGCTTCAAGTCGTTCAGGGCCGAGCCCAGGGCGATCGGGAAGCAGTCACCTCCTCCCGCATTCTCTTGTCGAGCGGCAAACTCAGCGAAGGGCTCGGTGGACGTGACCTTCGCCTTCTTGATGCTCTTGGCGGCCAGCGGGGCCCCCTGCTGCTTCTGGCCGGCGGTGGGCCCAGCTGAGCCTTCAGCTGATGCTGCAGGTCCGCCCGCAGCGGCTGGTGCAGCAGCAGGGGCCTCCTCCAGCACAACGTCGTCGTCCTCGGCGTCGTCGGCGTCGTCGTCCTCGCCCAGTCGCGGCCTGGGCAGCGGTGTGCCCCAAGCCGACTTGGGCTTGGCAGCACCATCTCCTTTCTTCTTGGGGCTGGTGTTCCTGATGACCATGGAGACCAGGACGCCCGATGTGAAGGCGAACGCGCTCTGCTCCGAGGCGCCCTCAAGATCTCCTCGAAAGAACCACTTGCGGACTCCTGATCTGGAGACTGCTTGGATGTTCTGGAAACCTCTAGCTTTGGCCCAACTCTCCAGGTCCTCTGGGCGGGACCATGAGTCAAGGCCTCTCGTGACGACCCATCTCGGCGGGATCGAGGACGGGTCAGACACCGCAACTTTATCAGAAATGATACCGATGGGCGAGTCGATAGAAGGGCGATATACCAAGCGAGCGCCTGCGGCCTGACCATCGGCCAATGCTCGAACACGTCGGGAATATGCCTTCGGGTCCTCATCATCCTTCTGCCTGACAAAACGTGGGAACTTCTTGGACTGTTGCTCAGTCAAGAAGACTCCTGTGGGCAGCACTGCTGACATTAGTGTGGCTCGAGACTTTTCTTTCAAGATCACTACGCACGTCACCTCTGTCGAATAATCGATGGCCCCTTTGACTTTCAAAATGCTTTTGCACTGCGCCGAATCGAACACCAAGGCTGGTGATGAGAGCGGGTCTCTCTGAGCCCTGCCATACATCTCTCCGTCGGCGTAGGCCCTGGCGATTGTGAGTCTGGCATTGAACGTGGCGATCCTCTTGGGCTTCTCCACGTCGTCCTTCAGGGTCGCTGGCAATGTCGCTTTCTCAGGCGCGCCATCGCCATCAGAAATAATCCACGCTTTGATATGCTGTGGACCTTTCGGCCCGTCAATCAAGACATCTGAATAGGTTGCCGTCGGCTCCTCAACCCATGTCTGCAACCCATCATTCTTAGAGAAAATCACATATGTGAGTGGGTGATCAGCTCCTGTCGCCCTCTTCCACTCTTGTGCACGTCGTAGTTCTGTTTCGCTTTGGCAAGTCACCACAGCAGGGCCTGTTAGTAACTTGTTTTTGATCGAAGATGCTGGAAAAATTGATACCCCCTTCCAAGCCAAGGACCACAATCTGTACGTCGTGCGGGCTGGCGTCGGGCTGGCCTTGGGAGCAGTCACAGTCGAGGCTATAGTCCTTGCTGTACCTGCTCGAGAAACGTGGGCGTCGATCATGCTCTTCAGCGTCACGATCACCTCAGCATCGGTTGGGGCGTACTTTGCTCCATCTGCTTGCCTTAACATACTGCGAATCTTAGCAAGCAAGGGTCCATCTCCGTGTCCAGCTTCAGGATTGCCTTTGTGAGCTGGTGTCGGAGCTGCCGTGGGTCTGTTCTGTCGCGGCCTCTTCTTCTTTTGCACTGATATCTGCCCCTTCAGTGCATCAAGTCGAAGCTGCATCAGTGCCATCAACGAAGAAAGGGAAGCTTGTCACGATTTAACCCTAGTCACAGCAGCACTATTCTTACCCCCTTTGCGACCACCGTCGCCGCCACCCAGCAGTGGGTCAGCATCATCATCATCATCATCATCATCATCATCATCATCATCATCATCATCATCATCATCATCATCATCATCAGTGGGAGGCTTCCCCGCCTCGAGAACCGTGCTTGAATTCTGATCGGCCTTCACGGCCGTACATGCGACACCCAGGTTCGCCTCGCTCAGGGCTAGCGACCCGTCGATCGCGAGGACGCCGCAATCAACGTCCAGGAGCGTCGCAGCTGTCGCAAAATCGCAGAGATCCTCGAGCCTCCAACACCTCCCGCTCATCGTATTTCTCCTCTCCTGCAACCTACGTGCACACCCCTTCAAATATCAGATCACCTCCTATCAACCAAGCGTGATATCCGAGCTGCGCGCCGAAGGTCGGGGACCTGCTGACCCGGGTCAATCCAGACCCGGGTCAGTCAGGCCTTGCAGAATCCTGCAGGGTCCTGCAAAATCCTGCACCCTAACCCGGGTCAATGCGAGGGATCCCGCAAAATCCTGCAGGATCCTGCACCCAAGCCTGGGTCCATGCGACCCTGGCCCTGCAGGATCCTGCACGATCGGGTGCTCTGGCTGACCCCTGTTTGCGTTGACCCCCGTCTCAAGGCTCCCGAGAAGGTACCTTGGAAGCACCTCCAGCGCGCCGCAGGAGTGCGAAGCATGGAGCTGCGGCTGCGCTCGCGCGTGTGCACTGCTCTGCGGAGCTCGGCGCCCTGGCGCGAAGGGCCGAGCGATGCCGACTGCGGGACGCTTTGGCCACACGGCCCGCCTCCGCAAAACAAAAAACCGCACGGCAGGGAGGAGGAGGAGGAAGATCGGCGGCGACGACAGGGGCGAATAGCCCAGGCGCGGCGGGGGCATTACGCGCATTCGCCCAGGAGCCTCGTCGAAGACACAGGCCATCGGCGCACCTGAATGCATGCATTGCTCTCCCCTGGGCCATTCGCCACTGTCGTCGCCTCCGAGGCAGGGAGGAGGACGAGGCGAACCCCAGACGCCCTGGCCGCGGCCCCAGACAGCGGAGCCCCGAGAGCCCCCCCCCCCCATGGAAAGACGCGCACGCTGGCCACCGGAGGGGCCGACGGGGTCGTGCGCAGCGCACACGACCGAAGCATGGCCACGGGAGTGAAGGTCGAGGCACGGGCCCCCAAGGCGAGGCCCCAGGGGCCCCAGTGGGGAGAGACACCACCAGGCGCAGCGCGCACTCCCAGGCTGAGGCCCCAGGTGTGAAGAGCGCGAGACGGACGACCCCGACGTGGGTCGGTGGCAGGCCTCCTGGTCCTCCTCCTCCTCCTCCTCCTCCTCCTCCTCCTCCTCCTCCGCCTCCTCCTCCTCGTCCTCCTCTTCTTCCTTCTCCTCTGTACTGTACTGTACCATATGGAGACAGCGTCAATGCAGCTCACTCCGAACACGAGTTGCCAATCGAAATTGCTGTCGGATCCATCCGACTTGCTTGCCCGATCACTCTCCTGGGCCATCAAGAGATCAAGCATGCTCTGATCGAGACTATACCGCGCCAGAAGCTCAGCCTCGATCCCGCGTTCCTCGTGGCCAGTGTTGAACCCAGCACCAGCGCGCGGGGGGGCTTTGAGACGGCGCTTGACCCCTCGCTTTGCGAGGTGGTACAGATTCATGCTGCTGGGCGGCAGCATCGGGCCGATCGTCCAGCCTCGACACTTCTCCGCACAGCTAGGAAGCAGCCCCCTCATCATCCTCCCCCTTCGTCGCTTCAGCGCATAGGTGTGCTCCTGGCATCTCTTTGTCAATCCTCCTCCTCCTCCTCCTCCTCCTCCTCCTCCTCCTTCTCCTCCTCCTTCCCCTCCTCTTCCTCATCCGATCCACCTCCTCCTCCTCCTCCTCCTCCTCCTCCTCCTCCTCATTCCTCCTCCTTCTCCTGCCCCCCCTCCTCATCCTCCTCCTTCTCCTCCTCCACTTCCTCCTCCTCCTCCTCTTCTTCCTCCTCCTCCTCCTACTGCTCCTCCTCCACCTCATCCTTCTCCTCCTCCTCCTCGCACGTAGCTCGGACCAAGTTCGTTCAGGATTACGCCTCCTCGACATCCGCTTGCTGTAAAACTAAGATCGGCCAGCATGACCAAAACATTGCATATCATTGTGTTCGATCCTTGGACACCCTCGGTCCGAAATGGAAAGGAATTACCCGGTGACGTACCCAACCCCTTTTCTAGACAAATGGCGAGAACATGTACATATACATAGATATATATATATATATATATATATATATATATATATACGTGTGTATACACATGTTTGTACATGTATATAAAGTAGAACCACGCGCGTTTCGCGCGCGCTAAGGTTATAGCAAGTATTAGTCGTAGTCTAAAGTGTTCGGCATCGGAGGACAAATATTGTCACACGGATCGTGCACGTCAGGGAGTTCCACCTGCGGCCCCAGAGACAGGCTCGGCTTAGGGTCCCCCCGCCCATGTCGGCACACCCCGCACAGGGATCGCGCCCCGCAGGGAACTCCACCTACGTCCCCAAAGACAAGGTTCCCAGAGAGGCACGCCCATCAAGCGGATCGTGCCCCGCAAATTCGCCGGCCCAACGGGCCAGAGGCGTGCTAAGATCTCCGGTAACTGGTAAACAGTATTTCTGGTTCGCGCGCGCGGGGCGGCCCCTGGGTGTCCCTGGATCAAAAGTACCGAGCCCGGGACACGCCCGGGCCACCCCCCCAGATCCTCCAGGATCGCCCCAAGAGGGCCCCAAGAGGCCCCCAACACAATCCAAGAGAGGTCCGAGACGCCCGAAGATCGCTCCACGGCGCCCAAGATGGCCTCCAGACGGCCCAAGAAGTCTCCAAGATGACCCAACAAGCCTCCAAGATGCCCCAAGAGGCCTCCAGGAGCACTCCCAAGAGGGCCCCAAGAGGCAAAAATCAATGTTTTTTCTTAGGTTTTGGACAGATCTGGGCGCTTCAACCTTTTCGGTTCCTCGACGCCCCTAAACGGCTCAAGAGGCCTCCAAGATCGCCCCAAGAGGGCCCAAGAGGCCCTCAAAAGGGCCCCAAGACGGCCCAAGACGGCTCCAAGACGGCCCCAGAGGCCTCCAAGACGGCCCAAGAGGGCCCCAAGAACGCCCCCAACACGGTCCAAGAGAGGTCCGAGACGCCCGAATATCGCTCCACGACGCCCAAGATGGCCTCCGGACGGCCCAAGACGTCTCCAAGATGGCCCAAGAAGCCTCCAAGATGCCCCAAGAGGCCTCCAAGAGAACTCCCAAGAGGGCCCCAAGAGGCAAAAACCTGTGCTTTTCCTTTGGTGTTGGACAGATTTGGGCGTTTTAACCTTTTCGGTTCCCCGACGCCCCTAAACGGCTCAAGAGGCCTCCAAGATCGCCCCAAGAGGGCCCAAGAGGCCCCCAAGAGGGCCCCAAGACGGCCCAAGACGGCTCCAAGACGGCCCCAGAGGCCTCCAGGACGGCCCAAGAGGGCCCCAAGAACGCCCCCAACACGGTCCAAGAGAGGTCCGAGACGCCCGAATATCGCTCCACGACGCCCAAGATGGCCTCCAGACGGCCCAAGACGTCTCCAAGATGACCCAAGAAGCCTCCAAGATGCCCCAGGAGGTCTCCAAGTGCATTCCCAAGAGGGCCCCAAGAGGCAAACAAACAATGCTTTTCCATAGGCTTTGGACAGATTTGGGCGTTTCAACCTTTTCGGTTCCCCGACGCCCCTAAACGGCTCAAGAGGCCTCCAAGATCGCCCCAAGAGGGCCCCAGACGCCCCCCAGAGAGCTCCAAGATGGCCCAAGACGGCTCCAACACGGCCCAAGAGGCCTCCAAGAGAACTCCCAAGAGGGCCCCAAGAGGCAAACAACTGTGTTTTTTCCTTTGGTGTTGGACAGATTTGGGCGTTTTAACCTTTTCGGTTCCCCGACGCCCCTAAACGGCTCAAGAGGCCTCCAAGATCGCCCCAAGAGGGCCCAAGAGGCCCCCAAGAGGGCCCCAAGAGGGCCCAAGACGGCTCCAAGACGGCCCCAAAGGCCTCCAGGACGGCCCAAGAGGGCCCCAAGAACGCCCCCAACACGGTCCAAGAGAGGTCCGAGACGCCCGAATATCGCTCCACGACGCCCAAGATGGCCTCCAGACGGCCCAAGACGTCTCCAAGATGACCCAAGAAGCCTCCAAGATCCCCAGGAGGTCTCCAAGTGCATTCCCAAGAGGGCCCCAAGAGGCAAACAAACAATGCTTTTCCATAGGCTTTGGACAGATTTGGGCGTTTCAACCTTTTCGGTTCCCCGACGCCCCTAAACGGCTCAAGAGGCCTCCAAGATCGCCCCAAGAGGGCCCCAGACGCCCCCCAGAGAGCTCCAAGATGGCCCAAGACGGCTCCAACACGGCCCAAGAGGCCTCCAAGACAGCCCAAGAGGGCCCCAAGAACGCTTCAAGAACGCCCCAAGAGGGGGTTCACGAAACAGAATTTCGAGCTCTCGGCCCTTAGAGGCCCCCGGGAGGCCCCAAGACGCCCCCGAAGGCCCCAAGAGGCCCCCAAGAGGCTCTCAAGAGGCCTCAAGAGGCCTCCAAAAGGCCCTCTGGAGGCCTCCAAAAAACCCTCAGGCGGCCCCCAGGACGCCTCCAAGACTCCAGCCAGACGCGACTTGGGAAACGCGGGTCGGGGTGGTCCTCCTCCCCCGCGTTCGGCTCCCGACGCCGCAGCTCCACACGGCAAACGACCACTCGGACAGGCGACCACGGTGCGACATTATGGGCCGGCGGAATGAGCGAAGCGATTAAATAACTGAATTTGCGGATCCAAAGGGAGCTTCATAGCGTTGCCCAGCTCACTTCGGCACCTATCACACGGATCGTGGCTCGCAAAGATTTCCACGGACGGCCCCAAAAAATAAGGTTCGCATCCAGCCCTCACGCCTACTTCGGCACACCTCTCACACGGATCGTGGCCCACAGGGATCTCCACCTAAGGCCCCAGAGGCAGGGTTCGCGCTGCGCCCCGCCCCCCCTCCACCCAGCCATTGCGGCATACCCCATCACGCGGATCGTGCCCACAAGGAGCACCACCGAAAGACCCAGAGACAAGGCTCGTACAACGCCCCCCCGGCCATGTCAGCACACCTGTCACGCGAATCATGCCCCAGAGCCTATGGCACCAATTGGCAGCTTCACATGGCGTCCCCCCGCCCATTCCGGAACACGCCTCGCACGGGGCGTGCCTGGAGGCGGTCCACCTGCGGCCTCAATGGGCGTGTTCGCGCGGCCCTTCACGCGGATCGTGCCCCACAAAGAGTCCAGCGCACCCGTGCACGCGTGCTCCGCAGCAGCCATCTTTCCGCATTGTCCCCCGGCGCGCAGTGTATGAACAGAGACCCGCGCCCTGCACTACACATGACTGCACAGGGATGGGTCCGTCGCTCTGAATTTGGGGCCACAGGATTCTTGGATACCTGTAGTACGGGGTTTCTTGGCCCCGGGGGGGCCTTCGTCTTCCTTTTCTGGAAGCGCGGGCTAGGCTGAAAGCCGCTCGCAAAAGCCGTTCGAAGAAACCGCTGGCACCGAAACCCCAAACTCGAAGCAACTGGATGCAGGCGGTGAGCCGTGAACCTGGTCA